GCTCCCCCTCCCTTATGAGCCCTTGATAATTTATAAATTATTATTTTGTCATATCTTGCCGTGTCCGACGTCTCCCTTCACCATATTTTCTGTTTGTTATGCCTTACACTGGTCAATGTCTCCCTTCACCCACTTTTCTGTTGTCCATCGCCCAGGGAGGAGGTTATATGTAGATCCTTATAATCGGTTCCCCCTTTCTACCCCACCTTTCCTCCACCCTCCGGTATTGCCACTCTCACCACTTGTCATGAGAGTGGTTTGGGGTTTTATTTGACACGGAAGGAAACACCTTCAGAAGATCCAAGTGATCTACCCCAGGTAACAACCAATGGTGGGAAGCAGGGAAGAGACTTTGGATGGATGCAGTTAAGAATGAAGTCTAAATGTCAAGTGCTTTAAGTACACCCCAAAAGATGTCATCTCATCCCTAAGCTCTGAAGCCTACTTGTTACAAAGCTGGTTACTTGTTCTTGTCCTGTCCTCACTGGTCCTGGTATGGAAAGCAGCATTGCCAACCCATTTCAAAACTTAGAAAACTGACCAACATGACAAATATTTCAGTATACAAATTTCACACAATTAAAAAAAAAGTTAACCCCCAAGCCTTTAAATGGTGCTGGAGTCACTGGATGGTGGCAATGGTGACACAGTGCAACAATTAACCTGATGAACCCACTTTGAACCCACCTGGAGGTAGCTAGGAAGAAAGGCCGGGTAGACTTCTGAAAAGTCACAGCTTCAAAAGCTGTCCACAGAGCAGTCCTGCCCTGCAACCTAGGAGGCCTGTGTGAGTTGTGATTGACTAGACGGTAAATGGAAAAGAAAAAAGGGGGGAGGGGTTAGCTGTGACATCATAAGTCAAATACCATCCAGCACCACTGGTTTCTCAATTCAACGTAGGTTCCACATTAAAATCCTGGAGGCTGTTCTCCGATAGAGACTGGCCTCTCAGGAGGTAGTACTGGAAAGCTCTGTAAGGGATGGTATGGAAAGGCCGAAGGTCAGACTGTGCTTTACACAGGTACAGAAACACTTTATAAACCAAGCAAACCTGCTATTGACATGTACTATAAAACTACAAAACGAAAGTGTGACATCGGCATAAAAACAGAACGCAAAAGGTCATTAAAAAGACCACCCTAGTGTGGGATGGCTCCGGTTATGGGGACACTGAGTGCTTGGGGACAGTGGAGAGAAGAATTTTAAATCCAAGGTCATGGCAAAATATCTGAAGTTCATTGCCAGGACAGTGATGGTACAGGAAGGAAACGTGGAAGGGGCCTACAGGACTCGCAGCAGAATCCTCACCATGGACGGACTCACTGAGGACATCAAGCGAAGGCAGTATTATAAGAAGCCGTGCCGCAGGAGACAGCGGGAACGCTACGAAAACTGCCAAAGGATCTACAATACGGAAATGACTGGAAAGATCAACTTCTTGATGTGGAAAAATCGGAAAGATCCTTGCTGAGGGGATTTGTGTATCTTAATTATTTTCTGGAACCCATTTCTCTAACCTTTCCCTACAACAAACCCCATCACGTGTATAAGAAGGCCTGCATGTAACAGAGGCAGTTCCAGTTGTCATCAGTGGGCTCTCTGTTTTATTAACTGAAAAAGAAACAGCCAAAAGTAGTACAGGAGCAGTACTGAGAAAACTATTCTAACGTATAGAATATATTTATTGTGCAGGGGCTTCAAAAATCGTGGGAAAATTCTATGAACATTTGAAGTATCTTCATATTTTTCACTCAATTTTTATGAAATCTAAGCCAGAACCTTATCTGTTAATGCTGTATTGAACTATACACCCCACTGTGACCTCTCCCTCACCCCCACCTCCAACATTTCCGTAAAGAGGAGAAGCAGCATGTATGTATTTGGAGTAAGTTCTGCCTCTGAAACATCCACAACCAAAAAAGACCGCCGTATCATTTGCTGTAACAGATGAAGTGATATGACTCCTATTTACTAAAAAGAACAACACACTAATTTGTGCCCAGAAATTTGGAAGACAGCTACGTGGCCATCTGACTGGAAGAGATAACTGTTCCAGTCCATTCCAAAGAAAAGCAACTCAACAGGAGGTGGAAATCGCCGGACAGCATCGTGGATGCACACGGAAGTAACATCCTGCTCAAGAGGATTCCAAATGGTTGCAGCCAAAATAAAAGAAAGTGCCAGAAATTCGAGTCCCATTCAGAAGAGGATGTGGGGCATGTTTATCATAGCTGACATCAGATGGATCTTAACTGAAAGCAGAGACTACCAGAAAGATGTTTGTGTGTGTTTCGTTAACTAGGCAATGGCATTCAACTGTGCGGATTGTAACAAATTATGGGTCACATTGAGAAGAAAGGGAATTCCAGAACCTTCATTGTGTTCACTGGGAATCTGTACACAGAGCATTCAATACAGAACATTCAGTCCATTGTGGGTTCCCATTGGGCTGCTAACTACAGATCTGAGCAGTTCTGAAAACGGCCAGCGCTCCGCTCCTTAGCCTCGGAAACCCATAAGGGCAGTTTTATCTTGGCCTCTGGGGTCGCTATGAGTTAGACTCAATTTGATGGAAGCAATTTTGGTTCGTTTTGGTTCAATACAGGACAAGGGGATACTGCTTGGTTTAAAATCAGGAAAGGTATGCGTCAGGGTTGTACTCTTTACACATCAGATCTGTATTCTGAGCATATAATTGGAAATCCTGGACTATATGAAGAACAAGGCATCATGATTAGAGACTTTAACAGCTCATGTATTAACAATCATATATTACACACAATCGTATATTAACACAGAACTTGCATCCCAAGCACCTACGAATTTTGAAGGCAAAGAACATGATTGAGGTAGTTGTTTATTGTGCCAACCTGGCTAATAAACACCTGGGGTTAATTGAAGGGTGGAGCAATAAATGGCTCAGTGAGCCTCACCTTTCTAGTTCTCAGGTCTCTTGCTTTGTGATGGTCGGACCAGGGTGCCAGTTCCCTGCTTTAGCTAGTAAGGCTCACTTCCTGCAAGACAACCCTGAGGAGAAGCCACATGGACCTACCCCGATGCAGCCCTGGGAGCACCCATGTAAAGACACCTGCCAGCGCTGAGATGCTTACAAGTTCACTGATTCGGCTTTCCTCCTGCAGTCGGCGTCATAGTGTGTGTTTTGTGAGATGGAGGAGGGCTTTGTGGATTGGTGTTGTACATATGGGCTCATGTTGGACTTGTGGGTTTGGGCAGCACTGGGTTGGGATGTTTTCTTTATGTGCACTTACCTTTTATATAAAACTCTTATATATGAGTTTCTGTGGATTTGTTTCTCTAAAGTACCCACACTAACACAGTGATTAAGGGGGGAAAAAACACAAAACAGGAAACTAATTCACAAAAGATGTGAAATGGTCAATAAGCATAGGGACAGAAATTTGTTATCTCACGGATGTTGGGACGGAAGCGTGAACCAAGTGGAAGGGCACTTCAGTCTAAAGTAAGGTGACCAGATTTAAAGCGGGACACCGCGGGGGGTTCTTGATTAAAAATTTGGTTTATATGGACCAAATAGACTGTTCCCTAGCTTGTCGTGCATTCTTTCCAAAAATCGGGACGTCTGGTCACTTTAGAAGAGAATATTGCCTTTGGGGTGAAGCCATCAGTCTAATTTCAGAACATTTTCGTAGCGACTCTGCGTGGGTGTGCAGTGTTGGGGAGGCCAAAGTCGCTACCGCCCAGAAATCTCGCGATGTCGCAAAGTGCAGTAACTTCTAGGGCCCGGAGAAGACAAGATGCGGTAGAGCGCGCAGGCGCGACCAAGGGACCGGGGCAAAACGACCAGCGCAGGCACAGACGCACGGGGCTGTAGGCAGGAGGAGACCGTCCGGTCCCGCCCCCATGCTCACGCCCCCTGGGCCCCCTTCAGTTAACCAACCCCTTCAAGCCCGTGCTATCGCGGTATTTGTGTCCCTCTCGCGGGGTTTGGCGTGGCACCTGGAGGCTGGGCTCCGGGAGGGGGTGGCGGGTCCGTTAGTGGCGTTTGGGCTCTGGCTGAGGTGGCAGTGTTTTTCTCCTCTGCTCACACGGAGCTGCTCAGGCTGGAGGCCAGCCAGGTGAAAGCTCGCCTGCAGGTGTGCGCGCGCTGCAAGGGGACCGGGAGACCCGGGGCGGGAGGGAGCCCCCAGTCGCGGCCTCCTCAGTCGCGGCCGGCCGACTCGGGGCGACCTGGCGCGTGCTCCGCCTCAGCCCGCTTCTTGACCGCTTCCCTCCTCCTCTCTCCCAGCCCTCGCCGCCGCCTGGGTCGCGATGGGGGCGCAGGACCGGCCACAGTGTCACTTCGACATCGAGATCAACCGGGAGCCGGGTGAGCGGGAGACCTGAACCTTGCTGGGGCCTGGGCTTGCCAGAGCCGGGGGGAGGGGTTCCCCGACCCCCAACTCTCCTCAGGCCGTTTAGGGCGCGGGGCGGCGTAGTCACTTCTCCTGAGAGGATATTAATGGAGAAGAGTCACCCCTCCCCCCCTCTTCCTGGGAATTTTGGCCTCATCCTCGGAAACCCCACGCCCCCTTCCTTGAGCCCCCAGGCTGAATCCTCGTATCCCGCCTGGTACCGAGAAAGAGGTCACAGCCCTTTTGGACCCCCCCCTCCCCAGCGTCTCTAGGAGACAACCCCCCAAATGCCCTTTTCTCTTGCCCGTTGCACTTTGAGCAGGACAGAGATGAGGTTATCCGCTCCCGTGAAGATTGTAGGGTCGCTATCAGTCGGAATCGGCCCGTGGGCGGCGGGGTTGGTTTGTACTTTGAGGTTGGGACTCGTGTCATTTATGCTTTCTAATCCTAATACGTGTCATTTATGCTTTCTAATCCTAAAACGTGTCATTTATGCTTTCTAATCCTAAAACGTGTCATTTATGCTTTCTAATCCTAAAACAACACGACTGTGGTAACTCCACCTCTACTTCCCATAAGAATCTCGAGCCTGAATGCCTTGGTTCGTGGGAAAACGGATAAGCTATCGCCCTTTGTGATAAACTAGAGAATTCCGTGGCGGGAGAATTGCAGTATGCGAATACTTCGCATGAGTGATTGGCCTCTAGTGAGTGAATCTAGCCATTCCTGAGGATGTTTTGTCAAAAACCAAATGTTTCCTCCCAAACAATTCGTTATTTCATTTGAAGGAACCAGGATGCTTTATTTGTTGTTTAGGGGGTGGTGGTGGTTTTGTTTTGGTATACGTGGGGGCTTCAAAAGTTCGTGAGAGAATTCCACTATAGATTAATTCCAGTTTCTCATTAACTAATGTTTTTTCCCCATTAACATTTTGAAGCCCCCTAGTAGGAGACAAGTTTTAATTGGAGAGCCATACTGTCTGTGTGCAGCACCTTGTTTAGATTCTTGCGAGTGAAGGGCTGCTATGCTCTTACATTATCAGTGAATAAAACCAAGTCCTCTTGATAGTTTATTTTCTTTTGGGCTAGACAACTACGTCAGCATAGTGGCTTGCAGTATGGGTGCTCATTTTAATTGGTGGTCAGGGAAGGTCACTTTGACTTTGTGAGATCGCGTTGTAAGCAGACAGGTGGAAGACGTGAAAGTGAATCACATGGGTACCCTTGAGATGCCTTCGAGCTCCTGGTCATGGTTTGCTGCCCAGTTGCCCCCCAGTTTGTAGCAGCCTTGTGCACAGTACAACCAATGGCTCTGGGTGCGGTCCTCCCCCACGGGTTGTGGATTGGGTTCCCAGGGTTTGCACTGACTGATTTTGGGAAGTAGCTTGCCAGGCTTTATTTCTCTAATTTGTCTTGGTCTGGAAGTTCCACTGAAAATCTGTTCAGCGCCGTGTGACTCTCAAGCCTCTAGTGACAGGTGGGCACTAGTAAGCAAGCGCTTATCTCTGCTGAATCACCAATGCACACACATTCCTGTTAGTAACCAGTTGCTGTCAAGCTTAGTCCGGCTCACGGTGTTTCAGAGCAAACCTGTTCTCCCAGAGGGTTTTCAACAGCTGTGATTTTTCACAATTAGGTCATCGGGTAGATTAAAAGCAGCAGCCTTTTCGATTCTTGGCCAAAGTTAATCAGGTGCGCCACTCTGTTCCCCGGTTGAGGGAAAACTAATTACAAGACTGTGGGGATTGGTCCTGTTGGGGACCAGGGGGAGCCCCCCTGGCTGGAGTAGAGGTCCGGAGTGAATAGTGTGGACTGGCTTGGCAGCCATAGTGAGGACTTGCACTCTGTCAGCTAGAAATGGTGTGGACTTTTTCTGTAGATTTGTTTTTCACTCTTTTATGTTTTGACCCTTGACAGCTCTTAACTTTCATTCTATTGCCAGACTTTGAAGAAGGAAAGATTATAGTTCCCTGAAAAGTAGAAATTAGATGCACCAAGTTTCTGTATCATGTTAAGTACTCTTAGTACGTGCTCAGATCCTAGATTTGCAAATTACTTTTATGGTGAAAACTGGTCAGAACATACTTGGTAAATGTCCCCGCGTTCCATACAGTTTATTATAACTATTCTGGCAGAGGTGACGGACACTCTTGAGAACACTGAGTCATACTTACTTTGTTTTAGGCTAAATGACTTGATAATGGGCTATTTCCTATGGCTTGATCTCATGTAATGCTTCTCTTAACACTTTTGAGTATATTATCTAAGTAATAAATACTTGATTTTTTAAAATACAAGATGACTTCAGTTGTATAAAGAGGGACCCGCCCTGGTGGCACAGTGGTAAAGCACATGGCAGCTAGCCAACAGGTCAATGGCAAAGCAGTGGATCAGCACTTTGAACCGGCTGCCTCTCCTGAGGAGAAAGCTGTGGCACTTGCTTCCCCAAAGATTACAGCCTTGGAAACCCAATGGGGCAGTTCTCCCCGCCCCACAAGGTCACCTGCCATGAGTTAGAATCAACTCATTGGCAACAGTTGTGGTTTCTAGTGGTCTGAAGAGAGGTGTCCTACTCTGTAAGACTTAACCATTAGTATATATGGCACATATATATATGGCATTAAGGCAGCACTGGTGGCATAAGGGTTTCTCTTTGAGCTGCTAACAAGATCAGTAGTTTGATACCACCAGCCACTCTGAGGGAGAAAGATGAGGCTTTCTACTCCCATAAAGAGTTACAGTCATGGAAACCCCCAGGGGCAGCTCCATCCTGCCCTGTAGGGCTGCTAACAGTGGGAATTGATTTGATGGCAGTGAGTATGTATGTTATTCATTGTCAGTCTCTGATAGGTAGGACAATAAAGGAGAGGTTGATGATCTGAGGCGCTTTAGAAGAAAAGCATTATGATCTATTTCCTAAACAACCATAGAAAACCCTATGGAGCTCAGTTTTGCAGTGAAACTTAGAGGGTCACCCTGGATTGGAACTGTCTCAGTGGCACCTGGTTTACTCATTATATACCTTATTGTTACTTAGCTGATGCTCTTGGCTTAGTGCATAGTTAGTAATTCACTGGTTCTAAGTACAAAGTCATCTCCTTGATTTACTTTGATAAGGGAAGATCAGATCCAGAAATACTGATACAAAGTGAGCTGAGTATTGCATAGAACATATTCTTTTCCATTACTATCAGAAATGTGTGTAGTTGATAGCAAAATTTAGAATTATAAAGACACCAAATGAATCCAAGTATGTGTTAAAAGCAGAAAACTTTATGTAAGTTTTCCCTCTGTGAATCCAGTAATATTCTTATTTAAAATAATTGCAGGACTGGGTTTAAAAAATAATTATTATAAGACCGTTCCTTACAATTTTTTAATAGTTTTATTAGCACTTCATCCATATGACGTATAATTCAATAATTCAGTCACATCAAGAAAGAAGTTATACATGGTGGGTAGGGAAGGAAAATAGGAGCTGATCCCAAGGGCTCAATGGAAAGTAAATGTCTAGAGAAGAACGATGGAATATATGTACGAATATGTCAGATACAATTGTATGGCTCGTAACAAGAGTTGTAGGCGCCCCAATGAAATGATTAAAAAAAAATAATTAAACCAAAAAAAAAAAGTTGTACAATTATCACCACATTCAATTTTAGAACATTTACTTCTTCCTCGCACCATTGTTACTCATGTAGTTATTATTTTTTTTAATTTTAGCAAAATTGTACACAACAAAGCATTCTCTAATTCCACAACTTCTGTATGTATAATTCAGTGTCATTGATTATAGTCTTCATGTTGTACAACCATTATTGGTACCTTTTTCTAGTTTATTCCACCACTATTTTTTTCTAATCATTTTATTAGGGGCTCATACAACTCTTATCACAATCTATACATACATCAATTGTGTAAAGCGCATTTGTACATTCATTGCCC